AGAGAGAGAGAGAGAGAGAGAGAGAGAGAGAGAGAGAGAGAGAGAGAGAGAGAGAGAGAGAGAGAGAGAGTCATTTGCTGCATTGCTTCATTTGATTCAAATGTGGTTTTTGATCTGAGGCTGCAGCTTCACCAAACTTGCCGCTGGAGGATCCTTCTACCTATTTTTGTTGCCTAGATTGCGATTCCAATGGAAAGGGCCCTTTGAGAAATAAAAAATGAAGCTCATGCCATTAACCACAGGCTGAGGTTCAGGCAAGTTTGGGGTCGAGCAGAGGGCAGGCTACAGGAATATAGGTCGGCATGCCTCCTTTTCCCCGACCCCGGTTTCTTCTTCTTTTCTTTTCTTTTCTTTTCTTTTTTTGTTGAAAACCTGAACAAACTGCGAGCCTGTTAAAACCAGATACTGGTTTCGGCTGTCTGCCAAACACAAAAAAGAACTAGCGAGGGGACAAAATGGTTTCTGTTTGCCTGGTGCCAACAGCCTTTTTTTTCATCCGGCCGCCCAGGCCCCTGCTTTTTTTTCATGCGTTAGCAGGGGCTCGGGCGACCGGATGATAAAAAAAGGCTGGTGGCCCGCCCGAGCCTGCCGAATCGAAACAAAATGGCTGGGAAAGGGACTGATGAAAGAAACCACCAGTGAGTACACCCGGGCCTGGAGGCACCTTACTGTGTGCCGGGCTTTTCCGAACGACCAGAATTGCACTTTTTTGAAGTTTTTTCTTATTTGGCTGGCACCGCCAGCCATTGTGGTCCAGTAGGGCGCGAGCCATTGCTACATAGTACAGACTGAGTGTGGTGCTGACGAGTTGCTTTTTCTTCAAGGCTGGCGCTGTTTACTGGCGGTTCAACTTCCTCACAAACACTGAGGGATTGCATCTCGCAGCTAGATTACTGGCTGTGAGGGGCATTCAAAGACTGCATCTTGGGCATGTTTTTTGATGGGTTCGGGCGGGGTAGGGAAAGGGTGACTGAATATTTGCATGAGTGCACCCAACAGTTAATCTTTGGGCATCGTGATGGACGTAATCAATGCCGTTCGGGGGATCCTATGGCCGCAATGAAAGGAGGAAGCAAGGGCGGCATATTCTTGCGCCTTTTTTTTTTTTTTTTAAACCTTTTTTCCTTTTCTTTAAAAAGGCTAATTCTTTAAGTGCTTTTGGTTATCTGGTGGATAAGAAACTGGACCGCCGCTCCCTCCCCAGAATAGAACGGAATGAGGTCCATAAGGCCTTGTTT